TTCTTGTGTGTGGGGGGGGGGGGTGCACGCTCGGTGGACAAAAAGGGGGGGGGGGGGTTAATTTTTTTTTTATTAAAAAAAAGTGTGGGTTTTTGTCTGCGTTTTTTTTTTTTGGGGTGGTCAAGAGATATTCGTGGGAACGGGTAAATTTCTTTGGGTGGGGGGGGGGGGGGGTTGCTTTCTTTACTTTCTTATTTGAGAAAAGGCCGAAGGAGGCGCTTATTTGAAGGCAGTCTCAGAATAACATTTGTCTTTATTTTAAGTAAACACACTGTTACTAACAGTAACTAAAAAGTATCGTATCTGTGTGCGATCGCTCTCAAATCCCTTTTCCCTGTAAAGTCATCTTAGCTCTCTTTGCCGCATATTCACTGTTTTTTTTTTCTCTAGGGGAGGTTTGGAGGGCGCTAACTATATTTCTAGCTTTAAGGGGGGTGCTAATTCGAAGGGGAGAGCTTATTTGAAGGCGCTGATTAGAGCATTTACAGAGAAAAAGAGAAAAAAAGGAACAGAAATTTAAAGTTTTATAAATTGACCGAAGCCTGCGAAGTTGCAAGTTTAAATCGAAAGGAGACTAGCCGGCGGGCAACATCACTTGTGCAAATTTGGGGAAAATATTTCGGCGGCGGAAAGTGACTTACGCTATAGAGTTCTTGTAACAGTTTTACCTCAAGCTTTGAACTGAGGGACAAAATTCTCTCCGGAATAATTACTCCTACTGTATTATGATAGTTTAAAATAAGCAAGGATTTATGAAATCGCTTCAATCGAACAGGATCGGGAAAATAACCACACAGCAACAATTAAGAAAAACCAAGTGAATAAGGTATGTTTTTTTGAAAATCCCAGAGAGATTTATCTTTTTTAATCTTTCACCTGAATTCCCATAAAAATCGTTTATGTGTTGAGGGCTATTTTACGAGACCACACGAATTGATGATGATTCCTGACTCTCATACTGAGCTTGGGCTGCCTGTGCTCGCATAGGTTAACTTTGTGTTGGTATCATTATTCCAATCTCAGTTGAGATGGTTGTCACTGTTAGAGGTGAGATTTATTGATTATCT